CATTTCATCAGCACCACTAGCGTCACTTTCTCAGAGTTCCAGCTCTCTGCGACCCGCGATTTATTTATTCGGGAGAAACACTGCATTTAATATTCTCGATTTCACCGTTAAGATTTGCAATCACTTTAGTGGACTATTTCTGTATTTGGCCAGAGGTTGCTTTCTGCTGTCATGTGACGGCTGAAACTATATGCGACTTCCTCACTACGATCTTCAGCCACGAGTGATATCCTATTTTCACTGTCTCGAAGCACGGCCCCATACGTGCAATTCCACAGCTTTGAAGAGTTCCTGAAGTTAAGAGAAATTTCTCATCATCGGCCTGCGCCGCAAGCTACCATTCCCAAGCAAATCGCCAAATGTTATAGGGTACTCTTCCGATTCCCAAGCCCCCTGTCTCCGGATGAACGTGACACAGCAATGCATAGCTCTCGGCAGAAAGGGTTTGTCCCGTTCACATTCTGCTGGGGGGTATTCGGGATCAGGAGAAGTAATCAAGGAAGCCTGAGAGGGGTGCGCCGCCACTGTATACGCTGCATGGCGATCGTCCCTGCGGCGCTAGTCCACACCGTTTCCTGGAGACGTCTTCGTCGAGGGTTGTATTTGGGGTCTAAGTACGAACGTCCGTCGTTTCCCGTTTTCAGCGCAAAAGTCCACCTTCCCATCTCCGTCGCCCGGCCTCCCAGTCTTCCCCATTGTCCCCGCTGCCGCCGCGCGCTAGACCGGCGAGAGCCTCTTTCCCAGTCTTGGGCAGTAACTAGTTACTAGTAACGCGTTACCGGTAACTAGTTACTTTTTTCAGTAACTTGTAACTGTAACGCGTTACTGCTTAGTGGAAATAACTTGTAACTGTAACAGAGTTACTATTTTTCGAGAGTAACTGTAAAAATAACGTCGCTACAGTTACTTCTCAGATTTATGGGAACACGACCACCAAATCGCCTTGCAACTCGTGAGAGAGTGCCAAGCCCTGGTGCGGGAAGGGCACAGCAAAAACTGCTGCAGGAAACGTCTAGAGCAGGAGGGAAAAAAAAAGAAAAATATAAAGAAGCTAAATTTTGTTTGACACTGCACGGCCAAGCTAGTCCCGCCAACTGGGAGGATGGGGACGTTTGTGTCCGTACCAGCCATGTATGCCCACAGCGCACGGAGATGTAACGAAGCGCGGCTACTTTAAAGCATTTCTCTTTTCTTCGTCCCGCGGAGGGAGCGAGTGCTTTTTACAGAGGACAGTTTTTGGTGATGGTTGACCCAATTACAACCCAATTACCGGCCTTGCCTCCCGTCACCCGCTTTTGCCTTCTCGGGTCCTTTCACTTGAGGAAGAGTGTCTGCTCGAAACGTCAGTGTCGTTCTGCTTGTTTGTCCGTGTGTTTTTGTAATTGAAAGACCGCCCTTAGCTGGGACCAGGGGCACTTGGCATCAGTTGACTTATAGATATTCAAGTCGTGGGCTTTCCGGGTGGTCTCTTCTATTTCGGGTGGTGAGATAAAGGAGCAAGTTCGATCTGGTTAGGAAGCGACAGAGGAAAGGCAGCACACGTTTGAAATTCCACGCGCAGTGGTCGTTTGTACCTCGATCGGTGCTTATTTTGACGGAGGAATGTAGCCACACCATTGCTCTCCAAGTTTTCAAAAAAAGCTTCGTGTTTCATGAAAGATTGGGGGCATACAGTAGAAAACGATTTGACCAACGAGTGGATTAGAGTGGCATAAGAAGACATCTACGAAGCTGATTGCAAGGTAGGGCATATTATTATTGACTTCACATTTGCACGATTTATATCGCTTTAGTCCAATTTCGCCTCATAAAAAAAAAAAAAATCCGAAATTAGAATTGACCGATTGTAAACTGGCACCATGATTGGATATACACGAGATCTGGACGCGTGCAGTTGTGTTCGTGTATACCTTATGGTGGTCGCTCTTATTTTAAAGTTCTTTATAGACCAGCTACGTTCTACGCCGAAACTTTGAAAGACTAAAGTCCCCTGTAATTTTCCAACCAAGAGACTTCATGTAGATGGTTGAGCGTGTTGGTTATTAATTTACGATGTTCCTCTTTTCTCGTCGTAAAGAGACTCCAATTCTTTATCATATAGTGAATTTACTCGGATACTGCCTTAAATTATGATCTGAGCTATTCATAGTAAAAATTGAAACAGGAAGAACCAAATATATTAATATATATTAATAAGAAAATCTTAGTTTCTCAAAATAATCAGATTCACTACCGTGAACAACACAACGTCTTTTAAAAAATCTATGCTAATTTAAAGGCATATAAAAGAACGTCCATTTTGAATGTTTTCTCATGTTTCTCTGTAAAGTAACGACGAAGTAACGGCGTTACTTTAGAAAAGTAACTGTAACTGTAACAAGTTACTCTTTCAATTTGTAACTGTAACTGTAACAGGGTTTTTTTTTCCTGGGTAACTGTAGCTGTAACACTGTTACATTTTAGCACTAACGTGCCCATGACTGCTCTTTCCCCAACCTGGGCGGTCTGCGGCTGGAGCCCTCCGTCCGGCTCTGCCACAGCACGTGGAGGCCCTCGGGCGTCAACACTATCCGGCAGGAAGTCCGAGATGTCCACCGCCACCGTCTCCAGTGTTTTCCAGCTGGATCCCCAGAAGAACACTCAAGCATCAAAGGCGCCGTCTTTGCCACGGAGACGACCGACAACAACTCCCAAAGCGCCATCATTTGGTTGTCGACGAAAGGGGGGCTAACAATAACTCACAAAGAATGAAACATTCATACTTGCATTACCGAGTTTCTGGGTGTATAGAGAAGTGCGCCATGTGCAGCGACGAAGTTCACCTTTGCGGAACCAATTCATGGACGCAAAAGGCGAACACGTCTATACATCGTGCGTTCCCCGTTATTAGGTAGGCCTGTTGACATCGAGATGCAAAAGCTCCACCAACGCACTGCTCGACTGCCAGAAACGCAGCAAGTAGTGCACAGACGATAGAAAGATGGAACAGTCGTTATCAGTAGGTATAGGACATCCGGGTGAAGCTTCCAACACATCACACAAAGGGAACGCCGTCGTTTGGTTCACCTCTGCTAGAAAAAAAAGAAGTGGGACCAAGCACCTTCGTCACATCACGAGGAGGGTGCGGCAATTAATCAAGATTGCCACGAGCCTATCCAGTAAAACAACAGTTACAAAAGGACAACACCAGATACTGGAAAAACTCGAACAGCTAGCAATTAGCCATTTTCACCCCAGCGAAGGTTTACAAGAAGCAAAAAACCTCCGGACAAACTGTGTCCGGATGGTTTTGTGTCTACGGGTGGTTCTTTAACGCCAAGTGAAAAGGACGACGATGCATGAACAAAGAAGGATGGACTGAGCGCGAGAACTGGAACAGTTTGTTTTTTGTTGCTTTTTTTCTGAGTCGACGGTCCAGCAGGCTCCAATGTTAAAACACAACAAATACCAACACTTCTTATGGCGAATTCCCTTTGCCGTTTTGAAGCGCACCGGGATGGACTTTTTTTTAGCACGCCTGTGTAACTGGGCGATCGGGATCGAGACGCGCGTGTTCCACTCGGCGTTTTGGATGAGCTCCCACTCGGCGTTTTGGATGAGCTCCCACTCCAGACCTCGATCCGTATCCAAGAAAGGTCTCTCTGGCAATTTCGGTGGATTCGACCGGAAGCCAGCCTGGCCAGCCCTCGGCGAGCACGCGTGACTAGCTTTCTCGCAGAGCATCTTGCCTCGAGATCTGGGACCGAGGGAAGGGGATCCTAGGAAAGGTGAATGACGGGAAAGCATCCGCCGATCCCAGAGGAGTGAGTGGCCATGTTCCACTGGGGATCCGAAGGCGTAGCGGCTCCGTTCGGATCCCATGCTTCATCTCGGATCTGGTCTACTGATCGCGGCGGGCTTTAAAAAGACCAGTGGAATTCGCAATTAGCTAGCAAGGCTGTCGTATTGAATTATCTACATGTGTTGACAAAACTAGACGGCAGCCTAACTTGATAGAAAGAACTTCTAAAAGCAACTTCCTGAAATACCCACTGTTGTGGCCATTTTGTTTTTCTTTTTCTAAGAGACGTAGCTTCATCGGGGCTAATTCTCTTAGCTATACTTTTTTCATGCATCGTCGTCCTCTTCTCATGACGTTAAAGAAGCACCCGTAGACACAGAAGTTTAACCTAACGTAACATGACCATGTTTTATGCTAGGTTCGGATTAACATAACGCAACCTAACCATTATCTAACCTGTCGTTCTCGGCCTTCCTACCATTTCTTGAGTGCACCAATCAGCTTCTTTTTTGTTTAGTTTTTCATTCGCGGTTTTTGGTAGTTCACAATAAAAGAAACCGTATAAAAGTACAAGCACGGCACCCATTTATACATCCGCACTTTTTCACCAAAATTCGGAGACAGGCCCTATTGAGCGAGAATTTCGGCCGCAATTGTCTTGTGATTTTTTACGACGGTGTCTTCGTAATAATTTATTAATGAGGCGATAATTGCAACCATGGCGCCTGTCTGGTTCGCCCCATGCGTGTAAGCATGTGCAGCGTGTGCGTGAACGTAGCTTTGGCTAGCTTGAAATTTTACGCACTTGCCCGCACGAGCAGAGACATGGCGGCGGCCAGACGCCCTGCTTGCAATCGTGTGTAATAAGATTTCAGAAAAATACGAATGGTACTAATTCGTGCCTCACGAATGGAACTATTCACGGCAAGAAGTCTTAATATAGCTGCCTGGTGGAATTTTTTCACAACCCGGAGTGAGGATACTGCAGACTGCAGCTTCTGCTATACTGTGTTTCACCCTATGTTTTTTAGTTTTTTTTATTTATTTTATTTTTTATTTATTTATACTACTGGTCCTTGTTCAGGACCATTGTAGGAATGGTTACATTCATGAGGTTACAAAATCGCCATCAAACAAACAAACAAACACAAGAACCATATGACGCTAATATGTCACGAAAGGAAAAACATGCAAGCAAATACAAATAGAAACAAAATCTTCACTCAACATTGAAATGTTTTCTAACAGAATCAAGAAATGAAATTAGGGAACTAGAGCTCGTCATTTCAGCGGGTAAGTTATTCCAATCTTTGAAAGTGTGAGGAAAAAAGGAGTATTGGAAAACATTATTTCGCGGTAACGGCTCAGTGATATAATACGGATGCTGGCTACGTGTATTGGAGCGTGCAGAAAATGATATATACTTGTCCCGATTGATGTTGATCATGCCATGAATTATCTGGAAGAGCAGTTTCAATCTGTTAATAGTATTTCTCGTGCTAAGTGTTGATAATTGTGCTTTATTAAGTAACTCACTAACTGAAGCATGCCTGTTATATACCCCGTAGATGAATCGAACCGCTTTTCTTTGTACCATTTCCAGCCTATTGATGTCTTTTTTTTGTGTAAGGGTCCCATATTACACTCGCGTATTCCAAGATAGGAAGAACAAAAGTTTTGTACGCCAATAGTTTTGTATCCGGAGCTGCCTGCCGTAATTTGCGTGTCATAACCCATAGTTTTCTAGATGCTTTATCTATAACCGCGCTGATATGTTTATCCCATTTTAAATTGTGTGTTATATGTAGTCCTAAGTATGTATATTCATTAACCCGGATCAGTACTTGGTTATCTATGTGGTATGAAAAAAGAGAGGGGTGCTTTTTATGGGTGATAGACATAAATACAGTTTTCTCTTTGTTTAGTACCATTTGCCAATCTTTGCACCATTTTGATATTTTCTGAAGGCTATTATTTAGGATGAGGTGATCATCGGGACTTTTGATTTCATGATATAGGATGCAATCATCAGCATACAATCCTATGTTTACTCTGATATTAGTAGCTATATCATTGATAAATATCAAGAAAAGCAGTGGCCCCAAAACTGACCCCTGTGGTACCCCGGATTCTACATTTGCTATGGAAGATGCAGTCTGATTAAACATTACATACTGAAGCAATGGTGAGGGTGCAGGCTAGCTGGTGTAAATTGAGCATAGTTGTAACCCGAGACTGGGGATACGGACAAGGGACAAAACACAGAACGACAGGGACGACAGGAAATCCTGAATCCAGTTTACGATTTGATTGTTTTTTAACATCGCACGTAATTTTAATAAAATCTTTGGATGGGAAACCTTGTCAAAGGCTTTTGAAAAGTCAAGGTAGATTACATCCACTTGGCCTCGGCGATTAATAACTGAAGAAATATTATGCACTGTTTCTACTAACTGAGATATTGTCGAGTATCCGGCTCTAAAACCATGCTGTACATTCGATAGAAGATTATGCTCCGTGACGTAGGCAACTATATGTTTAGCAATAATATGTTCGAGTAATTTACAACTGATACACGTCAAAGAAATGGGACGATAGTTAACTGCTATCCGAGGGTCACCCGATTTATATATAGGTTTAACGATTGCTAGCTTCCAATCTGCAGGTAATCTCGAAGTGGCCAATGACGTTTTAAAAATGACAAACAAATATTCTGAAACCCATTCCGCATAGCGTTTAAGAAACAAATTGGGGATGTCATCCGGGCCGCTGCTCTTCTTTACATCATAGTTTAGTAATAATGACAAGATACCCGCCTCACTGATAGTAATGTTCTGGAGACCGGGTAGCTGAGATTGGACGTCATAGTTAGGAACAATGTTGTTATCTCTTGTAAACACGGAATAAAATTGGTCACTAAAAATGGTAGCGATTTTAAATTCGTCATCAATTACACAACTGTCAACAGCGAGGGACGAACATTTCTTGTCTTTGGAAGTACTTATATGCCGCCAAAATTTTTGTGGTGCTGTTTTTATGAATGACGAAAGACAGATATTATAATACCATTGTTTTGATTCGCGTATTACCTGTTTAAGTTTCTTGCTACAAGAAAGATAGCTTTCTCTGGCGGACGGAAGGCCGGATCGCTTCCAAGATTTCTGCAGTCTGTTCACCTTCCTTTTCATATGTATCACGCTTCTCGTGATCCATGGGTTATGTTTGGCGAGTTTTTTTTTCGGTAAGGAACATATTTTGAAACGCATCGAGTAACAATAGCAACGAAATGATTCCATAACTGATCCACGCAGTCCGGGGTTGCTGATAAGGATACAAACTCATCGTACGCAAAAGCCAGTTCGTCTGTGACAGCGTTATCGTCGGCGTTATTGAAGTTCAAGACTTTAATCTTTTTCTCCGCGGGGGGTGCAATGTTATTAAACAAAGTAAGTAATACTGCCATATGATCAGACAGCCCTTCAATAACTTCACATTCATAGCCGTCAGCACTGGCACCAGCAGACAAAAAGATCAGGTCTAGGATTGAACTGCAATCTCCCACTACTCTCGTGTCACTGTCAACTACCTGACATAAATTAAAAGAAAAAGCAATATCTGTTAGTTCAGCGCAGTTTTCAGCATCAGTACTTCCGTGCGTTAGACAGGCCCAATTAATGTCTGGCAGATTAAAATCCCCGCCTATTATGAGTTTCTTTTTTTCTGTCAAGATTTTGCCAAGGCACATTTTTAATTCTTCCAAAACCAAGACAGGAGAATTAGGCGGCCTATATACGGATGCAACAACGTAGGATGAATTTTCAAATTCAACACTGCACCACACAGATTCATTAGTGTTGTCAAAATGGAGCTGCCGGTACGGGATACCAGATTTCAATATAATTGCTACACCTCCCCCTCGCGATCCCCGATCTTTACGTATAATATTATAACCCGGCGGCACAATCTCCGAATCGTGAATCTCGTCATTGAGCCAAGTTTCGGTCAAAATCAATATATGTGGGCAGTACGTGAGTAAAAGATGTTCAAGCGCAATTACTTTATTCACGATGCTACGGGCGTTGATGTTTATGACTATTAACGGGCTTTGATTACGTTTTCGTGGTTGTCATTGCTCATCCCGAGACCGGAGAAGTACTCTCTCCCCTTTACTTTCGTCCCAGCGATAAACTTTGTCACCTATAATCAATTTATCGAAACTAAGTTTTACTTTCTTGTTAGCTGCCCTATCTTCTGCTGAACTGGCCCACAATTTCTTTCGTAGTTCCTGAACATGACTGGAATAATCATCCGATATTGAAATGTCGGAGCCTTTTAGTTTACTCGCGTTATTAAATATCGAAACCTTTTCCCTGTAATCGAGCAGCTTTAAAATAACCGGTCTAGGTCTTTCACCGCCCTTCTTTCCCAATCTGTGGCACCTTTCGATACCAGTGACGGAAATGCCCAGCTTATCTTTGAAGACTGTATCTGTTACAATATCGCGCAGACTTTCCGAAGATTCACGCTGTTCTTCTTTTATCCCATATATGATCACGTTGTTCCTTCGTGAACGGTTTTCCAAGTCATCAATTTTATGGGTCAAGAAAGAAACAGTTTCTGCGAGTTTGGTTATTTTGTTCTCTGCCTGCGCAAGCTGTCTAGCAGTCTCGTTTAGAATGTCAACCTTGTTTTCAATCGTTGTAAGTCTGCTTTCAAATGACGAAAGCTTCCTATCTATGGTTGTTTGGCCTCTTCTTAATTCAGCTATTTCATCCAAGATTGCTTTTTGACCTTCGATGAGCTCTTTCATGTCAGAATTGGGTCCAGGGTTACTTTCAACATCTCCACACAACAAAATAAGTTGTATGAATACACACTAACATTCACCAAGAAGAGCCAGACACTTCTTAGGGCAAGGAAGCAGCACTAGGCATACATCATTACTTCTGTAACTCCAAAAAGGTGGGGGTCTCACCTGAATGAAGAGCAGATACTGTTTTAGCCTCGTGACATGCATGCTGCCGCCTTGCCCATTGAAGATGTCAGTTGATGCGTGGCTTTTTATACGGTCTTGCGGCGGTGGTGGGGTAGATGACGTCACGCCGGACGGAAGGTCACGCTGCAGTAGATTCTCTTGCCAGTCATTCTGCCTCGTCGGTCCAGTGTTGAAGCCTTGCTTGAGGGTAGGCGTTGTCGCGCTACTTTTTTCGACAGGGATCAAGCATAACACTTGATTTTCCGCAGCTGGCTTGTTGTCGACGCTCCGTGGTCCCACACAGGCGAGTACCTGAATAATAATTGGGTTGTGTGTGTGTTTATACAGCCTAGAACTTGGTCTGCCTCACAGGGGCGACGAGTCTCCCAGCTGTAGATGAGAAATTTAGCCAGTGCGGTACAGCCGCTAGCCTGGGGTCTTTAACGTGCATCACGCAGTAGTGATACACGACCGCACGCCGGTACGATGCTCATCCAGATCGAAACGGGCAGGGGTGGGGCTCGAACCCAGGATCCCTGGGTTCTGCAGCGCGAGCTTTCGCTCCACGTGCTCCGAGCTGGTGTGCGCTAGACCACTCGGCCACCGATCCCCCCCCCGAGTACCTGAATGAAGAGCAGATACTGTTTTAGCCTCGTGACATGCATGCTGCCGCCTTGCCCATTCTTTGTACCGCAGAGATGGCTAGAAGCGCGAGCTCAGCGTTGGAAGCTGCTCTTGATGCACGAGAGCTTGTGCGGCCGAGATGTGCCCTAGAGCAAGGAGCTCGCGCTTGTAGCCTTTCCTGCGGTACATCATAAGGTGAAACAGAATATAGTGGAAGCACGTGCAATGCCATACTTCTATGCACTATGACAATTCAAATAGAACCGCGTGGGTAGCACGTGCACTACACATTGTGAAAAAAAAAATGAATAAACAAAGGCGCCCTTAGCGAGCTTCTAACCGCGAATACAGTCTCTCAAAGCGGCACGAGAACGGCTCGAGTTGCAGTACCAGTTCATAAAAGTACCTCGTTCGCTTTGTTTCGCAAGAGGGTTTTTTTCAGATACCGGAAAACAAATCCTTTCAGGCCACATTACAGACCTTTCCCCTAAGGGCGCAGCAATCTTGAATGTCGTCACTTGTAATATGCGGTAAAACGTCGTTTTGATCTCTCCACGCCGCTGGAAGGTGTTTACGAAAAATGCGCGATTGTCTCACATTCTTGTTTTGTCTCACCTATATTTTCTCGCATACTCCAGGCTGAAATGTTTTATTATTTTTTATCCCGCATGTCAGACACGAAACCCACCTGACTGAGAACGACAGGAAACAGAAAACGTCTGTATCATAACAAGTCCCAATATAGCTGCACGGTGAATCCATCGTCCGCCACGCGCGTGACCTTTACCTCGCCCCCGTTACTTTTATTTTTGCGATATATTTTATTGTTTTTCTGCATGATCAACGTTACGCGAACTATACTTCGTTTCACCTTACGATGGAGAGCAGCGGATGCTACGTGCAGACACGTACACGTTACTGGAAAAAGTAACTAACTATCGTTACTCAATGCGGATTCTTGGGCGAGTTGGTACTGAAACTTGGAGAACATAATAGCGCTGCACGACAGGGACGTGTCG